TAAAGTCTAGTGAAAGACAAGCTTTGAATTTATTAACTCACACGTGACAACAGTCTTTTTTAAAGATTCCCCCCAATTACAAATGTCACTGCCGAACGATAATTTTCTGTGAATAAGCTCCATTGTGGTAGAGATGTATTTGCTTGCTCTGAAATCTATATTCAGCCCTTTATGGATTGTCTAAATGAATTAGCACTTACACCACACAAAGCCTGAGAGTAAAGGGAGGGCATATCATGTTTAGCTTCAGGACAACATGATCCTTAATGTGAAGCCAAAGTCACAGTTTATCTGGGTGATATAAAAGCTGTGTAAAGAACATATTATAAACTATATGATTTGAGATGATAATAATTTGGCTTGTTCACACTTGTAAATGCTCAATGATTTAAAGTCTCCCTGTAGTCAATAATTTGATCCCTTAAAACTCATTTTTGATCACTAAACGTACATATTTAAACGTTTTTTTTTTCCTTCTTCATGCCTTAAAATAACTCAACACCCTTGCCTCATTTAGTATGCGTGGTTCTATGAATATGCTGATGAGCCCCGCCTCCACTCACTCACAACAGCTCAGAGATCCACTCATTGACGATCACACGTTGTCAGAAATCTAGTGAGTGTCGATTAAAGGAGAATATATTCCCAATCTGAGTTTAATAGTCTTCAGAAGACTGATGATAAACTGATCCTGGATCATTTTGTACTCAATTAACAATGTTGGGTTAAAAATAACCCAACGAGTAACCCAACTATGGGGTGGTATAGCACCTTGGTTAAAAGTAACCCAACAGTAAAGTTAACTATTTTTATTCATGACATTATTTAAATAAATAAAATACACTTTGTTTTCAAATGCAGACTGTTTATGTGTATAAAACAATAAATATGTCTCACTCTCAACAAATTTATTTAAATTAAAAACTAAATATTGGGGAGACTAGAACTTAGTGTAAATAGTGTAGTAGGCCTACATAAATTCAAAATACACAAGTGTACACGCAACATACGTATTTAACCCAACAGCCAGGTTATTACTAGAAATGAGCCAACGATTTTAAAAATGACCCAACAAAGTGGCCCAATACGTGTAACCCAATGGGTGGGTTAAAAAAAATAACCCAACCGTTATTTTATTCCTATTTTTTTACTGTGTACACATCTATTGTGCGCTTGCAGAGAAGAAAGGAAGGAAGGCCTGTGTTTTCAGCAGGATCTGTAATGAGGACGCAGAGACGGGGAGCCGTTCTTACCAGAGGCGAATTAATATATGTAATCTGTTATGCAGCCCAATGTGACAAGACAAGGACATGTAGTGCTCTAATTAAAGTGACCTTTTCCCACAACTCCTCGAAGCACAGGTCATCTCTCATTAATGCCTGGTCTGGCACTGAGATATAATTCACTACACATCCAGAAAAAGGCAGATTTCCCCTCTCTCTTCTCTGTGGTGTATTATTGAATGCAGCCGTGCAGTCGTTTATGAAAGAGTGTAACACACTTTTCCCCCAGTCATTTCTTCCATAAATAAACATTTGATTCGAAGCACAACGCTATTTAAAAATCAGACAGAAAGACAAAGATGCATCACTGTAAAGTCTTTTCATAGGAAATTAATAACTCATTCGATGAAGCATTACAAATCATATCAGAAATGGCCATTTACAATGTAAAACTATAAGTCATCATCATGTAAGAGGCCGTGCTTTACATAGCTGCCAACTTTTGAGTTTAGCTTGGAGTGGGATTGTTGGATTTGGGGGGGGGACACGGTGTAAAAAATAAATAAAAACTTGCATCACTATAAGTGTAGGCTTTTGTGGTTGTCAAAACATTTGCTAGCCTAATACACAGATTTTTATTAAGTTTAGTGACAGCATGGTGCAATATTTGGTATAGGCCTGTCTGCATGTTTTTTCTTGTTATAAATTGTATCCTATTTTCCATTATTACAGTCAACTACGCGAAGTGATATGGACCTGTAATGCGGTCAAGACCTGCTGGAACTACTTTAGCCGTGCGTTTCCCTGAAAATAATTGATTCAAGCATTCAACGGCCCTGTAGAACAAATAAGTTGAAATGTTTTCATTATCAATTGTGCTATTGGTCAAAAATCTTCCCTCATTTATCTGATTGGGCGTTCGCAATGATTCCTGGGTAGGCACTGTAACTCGGCCCTGTCCAAAATGGCACCCTAAGCACTCCCTAAGGCGACGCTCGCGAGCACACTTCTGTGCGCTAAAATGCCGAATGGGACACCCTACAGACTTGTACACTTGGCGAGCAATTTAAGGCGCAATTAAAGCCCACGAGACCGCGAGTCCACATGAAGTGTGCCATTTGGCACCCAGCCTTGGTAGTGGCACATTTCACCCCTCATACTGTTAAAGGTGCTCTAAGCGATGTCGGGTGATGTCACTTCTTGTTGACGTTCAACGTATTGTCAAACAAAACGGAGGCTAGCTAGACCCTCCCTCCTCCTCATCCCGTCCCCTCCCCCTGTAGTTTTGCTGATACTTCATTCAAGGTGTAATGTCGCCAAGTTAGATAAATGCTTTCATATAATGCAGAACATGAATGCAGGAAAAGAGAAACATTACCAGAAAAACACGATAAAACGTTTCGCCACCTGAGGTTATAACTTTAACTCCCATACAAGGACGCAATAATAGCAAGATAACGTTAGGTTCGCGTTTCCCAGTGAGACAAATTTAGTCAAAGTTGTCAATAGGCTATGAATGAACATTCAAATTCATAACAAACAGTTGGTGAAAACAATCATTCACACAAACTGTCGCCCTACTGTGAGTTTGCTTGATCATTTACAATAAAGATCGATAGCTAGCTGCTAGAAACCTATATGTTGTATTCACCAAGGTTAGCGCTGACTGGATAGTTCTAGCTAATTATTTCCTTGTGTTTGTTAGTCGAACATGAAAGTCCAGCAGAAACAGAGCTACCTGATGTGGGATTGGAAGCCTTTCTGCTGGCGAAGTTCTCGCCACCTTTCAAAGGCTTTTCCAATGTAAATCCGGGACTTTGCGCGTTCCTTCTCCTTTTCCCTCTTCTTTGCATTTTTGCAATCTGTTCATCGGAACGTCGTCTCTTTGGTCGTGTGTCGGCCATTCCCTCTTCATGCTTCTCTCTCCTCCACACCCCCCTTAATGTGTACGCGCACTAACCCCGCCCCCAAACCCTCCTTGTCGGTTATTGGCTGGAACACTGTTTGTAATGTTTCGTTGAGCGGGTTGCCGCAGTTTGTTTTTGTTGCCGTTTGTGGAGCCTGGGGTGTCTGCAGAGACCACATTTTTTTACAGTGTGTTCAGGGGACAGCCAGCTAGTGGATAGTGAGGAGAAGCTGTATGTGACCAAAAAATGTTTTGGCCTAAAAAATGACATCGCTTAGAGCACCTTTAAATGCCGAGGGTTCTGAAATATTCGGTGTCTGAGATTTTCCGTGTCACCATGGGCAGAGCTCAGGGCCGGTGCTACCTATAGGCGGGTAGGCAGTTGCCTAAGGCCTCGGACTAGGTGGCGGGGCCTCCAAAACATACATATGCTTGTCCACCAATCAAGAGCAGCAAAATACTAGACTGTTTGTCCATTGGATATAACAATTATCATTCACCTGTAGTAAAACCAATTAATATCACTGTTTACATGTGAGTCACTCCCAACCTCTGAATGTATGAAAGAAGAGATTGTATATGAAGATGAAAAAAATTCAACTTTTCTGCAAATTTATCTGATGACGCCGAAACAAACTCATCCTTCAGGGGCTGCTAAGCGTAAGGCTAAGCAGGCACGCAAAGAAAGTGCAGTTCGTGATGCAGGTATCATCTATTTTTGAGTGATTGTAATGTAATGTAAAAACTAAACAGAGCCTGATGATCAGCTTTATTTTGAGATAGATCATTTGACGGTTATTCTGAGTTCAAAAGAGCGCGAGCACTGTTGATGGACTGAATTCGCTTCTGACACTTTGAATCCGAGCGTACAATGCAGAATTTTGTTAGAAAATAGAAATACGTTCTAAACGAACCGTCCGAAAGAGTCTGTTCGCGGAAATAAATCGGACTTCCAGTCACTGTTGGACTGATAGAGGTGAATTCATGATTAACTGTTGTTCCCATTCAGTCGGTCAACTCGGTACAACACATTACTATGGGATATCGCGCTCTAGCGCCATCTGTTGAAGACACCTTTATTCACACCTGAAAGGCCAATGACGCATGACGACGTGGGCGGGGCTACCTGCCCACAGAATATAAATGCAGTCGTATGCGTCATTCCCTTTGTTCTTCAGCTCTTCACCGTGCTGCTAGAACGCCATCACGCCACAGTTTCGTAGGAAAAACCCACGGTGGTGACTCCTGTCGAAAGGCACAAACAGAGAAAAGTGTTAAAGCATAAAAGTTTAGCATTGCTAACAAAAGCTAATACATATTTTTCTCGGGGAGAAATGGCTAAAAATAAGAATTCTCGCCCATGTCCAATGACATGTGGGTACTTGTTGTCCGAAAAAGATAGACACGAGCACTGTCCGGTGTGTTTGGAGATTGTCCACGCCAAGCTGGCTCTCTCCAACCCCGGAGCATGTATACACTGCCGGCAGCTTCGTCGCTCGACACTGGAGCGGCGTGTAGCGTTTGTTGAGCGAGTGCTCGAGGGTTCAGTGGACAGCCACGGTCCGCTTCTGTCCTCAGGTGCTGTTCCTGATTCGGCACTAGCCGTTTCTGAAGAAGCCACAGGGACTTGGGGCGACCGTATGGAAGCCGGGGAGGTTATGGATGATTTTAACGATGTTCCCCTGATAGATCCGGGGTTTAATCAGGGACTGGAGTGTCGAGAGGAGGACGCTGTCTCGCTTGAAGCGGGCGAGGAATTCTTCGACGATAACTTTCACGTCCACGCCAAGCTGGCTCTCTCCAACCCCGGAGCATTACGCGTCAAAGTGGAGTATATTTGAGCAGTGGTGCAAACAAAAGTCATTATCGTCATGTCAGTGCCCGATTGCAGGAATATTAACTCTTCTGCTGGAATTGTTCGAGGAAGGTTGCTCACATTCCACACTAAAAGTTTACTTAGCGGCCATTTCGGCCTGTCACGAGGGTACAGCCTGTCACGGACCACGCCGAGCGCGCACCCACTGGCCGTTCGGTTCCTTAAAGGAGCGAGACGGCTGAAGCCCGTTACAAAGTCGATGGTACCATCATGGGACCTGACTGTGGTTCTGGAGGCTATTTGTGAACCTCCATTTGAGCCCTTAGAATCATTGAATCTAAAAATGCTGTCTTACAAAACAGCCCTGTTGCTGTCCCTGGCGTCAGCAAAGCGCATTGGTGATCTCCATGCGCTGTCAGTACATCCCTCATGCATCCAGTTTGCTTTAGACGGGTCTAGAGTGGTGTTGCGTCCGAACGCGGCGTATACACCAAAAGTCATGTCAGGGGCATATAGTGCGCTCTCCTTTGAGCTGCCAGCTCTGTCAAACCTCTCGATTGACTCGGAGGAAGAAAAGAGACTCCATGCGTTATGCCCTGTGCGAGTTTTACGCAGGTATATCAAGCAAACACAGGCTGTGCGTTCATCCGACCAACTTTTTGTGTGTTTTGCCAACCCGGTTCGTTGGAAAGTCTATCATAATAGACCTACTTCATTTTTTTTTCATTTTCCAATCATAAATATTGTTGGAATATTTATTGAAAATAAGTATGCAATTTTAAGCATTTGAATAAGCACACAATTACAGTTGAATAAATTAACTTGTCTTTTCACTTCCACTAGCAGCTGATTTGTGTATATGCATAAGGTATTTCTCTACAATACATAATATGACTATATTTAGTCTATCAAAAACAAAACTGTTCATTATCCCAAATAGTGGGTTAGTGCAGTGGTTCTCAACTCCGGTCCTTGGGACCCGCTGCTCTGCACATTTTGTATGTCTCTCTTATCTGACACACTCAGTTCAGTTCATAGATCCTAACGAGCTGAGGATCTGAATCAGGTGTGTTAAATAAGGGAGACATACACAATATGCAGAGCACAGGGTCCCAAGGACTGGAGTTGAGAATCACTGCGGTTAGTGTGTTACCATAAATAAATTACTGAACAAATTACTGCAAAAAAATTCCTGACTGCAAAAAAAAAAAGAGGGAATTTTTAACAAAACAAATATTTTTTTACAGTGTAGAAAACCAAATGTAGCCTATCTAATGACATTATTTGTTTTAAACATTACCTTTTGTAGGATCACTGATGAGGTTTCTAAAAACCAGCGGTGAGTCAGAAGAACAACAGGGCAAGGAGAGTGAAGATCCAGAGAGTGATTTTGAGGCAGAGCATCAACAGGGCAAAGAGAGTGAAGATCCAGAGAGTGATTTTGAGGCAGAGCATCAACAGGGCAAAGAGAGTGAAGATCCAGAGAGTGATTTTGAGGAAGAGCATCAACAGGGCAAGGAGAGTGAAGATCCAGAGAGTGATTTTGAGGAAGAGCATCAACAGGGCAAAGAGAGTGAAGATCCAGAGAGTGATTTTGATGCAGAGCATCAACAGGGCAAAGCGAGTGAAGATCCAGAGAGTGATTTTGATGCAGAGCATCAACAGGGCAAAGAGATAGAAGATCCAGAGAGTGATTTTGAGGAAGAGCATCAACAGGGCAAAGAGAGTGAAGATCCAGAGAGTGATTTTGAGGAAGAGCATCAACAGGGCAAAGAGAGTGAAGATCCAGAGAGTGATTTTGAGGAAGAGCATCAACAGGGCAAGGAGAGTGAAGATCCAGAGAGTGATTTTGAGGAAGAGCATCAACAGGGCAAAGAGAGTGAAGATCCAGAGAGTGATTTTGATGCAGAGCATCAACAGGGCAAAGAGAGTGAAGATCCAGAGAGTGATTTTGATGCAGAGCATCAACAGGGCAAAGAGATAGAAGATCCAGAGAGTGATTTTGAGGAAGAGCATCAACAGGGCAAAGAGAGTGAAGATCCAGAGAGTGATTTTGAGGAAGAGCATCAACAGGGCAAAGCGAGTGAAGATCCAGAGAGTGATTTTGATGCAGAACATCAACAGGGCAAAGAGATAGAAGATCCAGAGAGTGATTTTGAGGAAGAGCATCAACAGGGCAAAGAGAGTGAAGATCCAGAGAGTGATTTTGAGGAAGAGCATCAACAGGGCAAAGAGAGTGAAGATCCAGAGAGTGATTTTGAGGAAGAGCATCAACAGGGCAAGGAGAGTGAAGATCCAGAGAGTGATTTTGAGGAAGAGCATCAACAGGGCAAAGAGAGTGAAGATCCAGAGAGTGATTTTGATGCAGAGCATCAACAGGGCAAAGAGAGTGAAGATCCAGAGAGTGATTTTGAGGAAGAGCATCAACAGGGCAAAGAGAGTGAATATTCAGAGAGTGATTTTGATGCAGAGCATCAACAGGGCAAAGCGAGTGAAGATCCAGAGAGTGATTTTGATGCAGAGCATCAACAGGGCAAAGAGAGTGAAGATCCAGAGAGTGATTTCGAGGAAGAGCATCAACAGGGCAAAGAGAGTGAAGATCCAGAGAGTGATTTTGAGGAAGAGCATCAACAGGGCAAAGAGATCCAGAGAGTGATTTTGAGGAAGAGCATCAACAGGCCAAAGAGAGTGAAGATCCATAGAGTGATTTTGAGGAAGAGCATCAACAGGGCAAAGAGAGTGAAGATCCAGAGAGTGATTTTGAGGAAGAGCATCAACAGGGCAAGGAGAGTGAAGATCCAGAGAGTGATTTTGAGGAAGAGCATCAACAGGGCAAAGAGAGTGAAGATCCAGAGAGTGATTTTGAGGAAGAGCATCAACAGGGCAAAGAGAGTGAAGATCCAGAGAGTGATTTTGAGGCAGAGCATCAACAGGGCAAAGAGAGAGAAGATCCAGAGAGTGATTTTGATGCAGAGCATCAACAGGGCAAAGAGAGTGAAGATCCAGAGAGTGATTTTGAGGAAGAGCATCAACAGGACAAAGAGAGTGAAGATCCAGAGAGTGATTTTGATGCAGAGCATCAACAGGGCAAAGAGAGTGAAGATCCAAAGAGTGATTTTGAGGCAGAGCATCAACAGGGCAAAGAGAGTGAAGATCCAGAGAGTGATTTTGATGCAGAGCATCAACAGGGCAAAGCGAGTGAAGATCCAGAGAGTGATTTTGAGGAAGAGCATCAACAGGGCAAAGCGAGTGAAGATCCAGAGAGTGATTTTGATGCAGAGCATCAACAGGGCAAAGAGAGTGAAGATCCAAAGAGTGATTTTGAGGCAGAGCATCAACAGGGCAAGGAGAGTGAAGATCCAGAGAGTGATTTTGAGGAAGAGCATCAACAGGGCAAGGAGAGTGAAGATCCAGAGAGTGATTTTGAGGAAGAGCATCAACAGGGCAAAGAGAGTGAAGATCCAGAGAGTGATTTTGAGGAAGAGCATCAACAGGGCAAAGAGAGTGAAGATCCAGAGAGTGATTTTGAGGAAGAGCATCAACAGGGCAAAGAGAGTGAAGATCCAGAGAGTGATTTTGAGGCAGAGCATCAACAGGGCAAAGAGAGAGAAGATCCAGAGAGTGATTTTGATGCAGAGCATCAACAGGGCAAAGAGAGTGAAGATCCAGAGAGGGATTTTGAGGAAGAGCATCAACAGGGCAAAGAGAGTTAAGATCCAGAGAGTGATTTTGATGCAGAGCATCAACAGGGCAAAGAGAGTGAAGATCCAGAGAGTGATTTTGAGGAAGAGCATCAACAGGGCAAAGAGAGTTAAGATGCAGAGAGTGAATTTGATGCAGAGCATCAACAGGGCAAAGCGAGTGAAGATCCAGAGAGTGATTTTGAGGAAGAGCATCAACAGGGCAAAGCGAGTGAAGATCCAGAGAGTGATTTTGATGCAGAGCATCAACAGGGCAAAGAGAGTGAAGATCCAGAGAGTGATTTTGAGGAAGAGCATCAACAGGGCAAAGTGAGTGAAGATCCAGAGAGTGATTTTGATGCAGAGCATCAACAGGGCAAAGAGAGTGAAGATCCAGAGAGTGATTTTGAGGAAGAGCATCAACAGGGCAAAGAGAGTGAAGATCCAGAGAGTGATTTTGAGGTAGAGCATCAACAGGGCAAAGAGAGTGAAGATCCAGAGAGTGATTTTGATGCAGAGCATCAACAGGGCAAAGCGAGTGAAGATCCAGAGAGTGATTTTGATGCAGAGCATCAACAGGGCAGAGAGAGTGAAGATCCAGAGAGTGATTTTGAGGAAGAGCATCAACAGGGCAAAGAGAGTGAAGATCCAGAGAGTGATTTTGAGGAAGAGCATCAACAGGGCAAAGAGATCCAGAGAGTGATTTTGAGGAAGAGCATCAACAGGGCAAAGAGAGTGAAGATCCAAAGAGTGATTTTGAGGCAGAGCATCAACAGGGCAAAGAGAGTGAAGATCCAGAGAGTGATTTTGATGCAGAGCATCAACAGGGCAAAGCGAGTGAAGATTCAGAGAGTGATTTTGAGGAAGAGCATCAACAGGGCAAAGCGAGTGAAGATCCAGAGAGTGATTTTGATGCAGAGCATCAACAGGGCAAAGAGAGTGAAGATCCAGAGAGTGATTTTGAGGAAGAGCATCAACAGGGCAAAGAGAGTGAAGATCCAGAGAGTGATTTTGAGGCAGATCATCAACAGGGCAAAGAGAGTGAAGATCCAAAGAGTGATTTTGAGGCAGAGCATCAACAGGGCAAAGAGAGTGAAGATCCAGAGAATGATTTTGAGGCAGAGCATCAACAGGGCAAAGCGAGTGAAGATCCAGAGAGTGATTTTGATGCAGAGCATCAACAGGGCAAAGAGAGTGAAGATCCAGAGAGTGATTTTGAGGAAGAGCATCAACAGGGCAAAGAGAGTGAAGATCCAGAGAGTGATTTTGATGCAGAGCATCAACAGGGCAAAGAGAGTGAAGATCCAGAGAGTGATTTTGAGGAAGAGCATCAACAGGGCAAAGAGAGTGAAGATCCAGAGAGTGATTTTGATGCAGAGCATCAACAGGGCAGAGAGAGTGAAGATCCAGAGAGTGATTTTGAGGAAGAGCATCAACAGGGCAAAGAGAGTGAAGATCCAGAGAGTGGTTTTGAGGAAGAGCATCAACAGGGCAAAGAGAGTGAAGATCCAGAGAGTGATTTTGAGGAAGAGCATCAACAGGGCAAAGAGATCCAGAGAGTGATTTTAAGGAAGAGCATCAACAGGGCAAAGAGAGTGAAGATCCAAAGAGTGATTTTGAGGCAGAGCATCAACAGGGCAAAGAGAGTGAAGATCCAGAGAGTGATTTTGAGGAAGAGCATCAACAGCGCAAAGAGAGTGAAGATCCAGAGAGTGATTTTGAGGAAGAGCATCAACAGGGCAAAGAGAGTGAAGATCCAGAGAGTGATTTTGAGGCAGAGCATCAACAGGGCAAAGAGAGTGAAGATCCAGAGAGTGATTTTGAGGAAGAGCATCAACAGGGCAAGGAGAGTGAAGATCCAGAGAGTGATTTTGAGGAAGAGCATCAACAGGGCAAAGAGAGTGAAGATCCAGAGAGTGATTTTGAGGAAGAGCATCAACAGGGCAAAGAGAGTGAAGATCCAGAGAGTGATTTTGAGGCAGAGCATCAACAGGGCAAAGAGAGAGAAGATCCAGAGAGTGATTTGATGCAGAGCATCAACAGGGCAAAGAGAGTGAAGATCCAGAGAGTGATTTTGAGGAAGAGCATCAACAGGACAAAGAGAGTGAAGATCCAGAGAGTGATTTTGATGCAGAGCATCAACAGGGCAAAGAGAGTGAAGATCCAAAGAGTGATTTTGAGGCAGAGCATCAACAGGGCAAAGAGAGTGAAGATCCAGAGAGTGATTTTGAGGAAGAGCATCAACAGGGCAAAGAGAGTGAAGATCCAGAGAGTGATTTTGATGCAGAGCATCAACAGGGCAAAGCGAGTGAAGATCCAGAGAGTGATTTTGAGGAAGAGCATCAACAGGGCAAAGCGAGTGAAGATCCAGAGAGTGATTTTGAGGAAGAGCATCAACAGGGCAAAGAGATCCAGAGAGTGATTTTGAGGCAGAGCATCAACAGGGCAAAGAGGGTGAAGATCCAGAGAGTGATTTTGATGCAGAGCATCAACAGGGCAAAGAGAGTGAAGATCCAGAGAGTGATTTTGAGGAAGAGCATCAACATGGCAAAAAGAGTGAAGATCCAGAGAGTGATTTTGAGGAAGAGCATCAACAGGGCAAAGAGATCCAGAGAGTGATTTTGAGACAGAGCATCAACAGGGCAAAGAGAGTGAAGATCCAGAGAGTGATTTTGAGGAAGAGCATCAACAGGGCAAGGAGAGTGAAGATCCAGAGAGTGATTTTGAGGAAGAGCATCAACAGGGCAAAGAGAGTGAAGATCCAGAGAGTGATTTTGAGGAAGAGCATCAACAGGGCAAAGAGAGTGAAGATCCAGAGAGTGATTTTAAGGCAGAGCATCAACAGGGCAAAGAGAGTGAAGATCCAGAGAGTGATTTTGAGGAAGAGCATCAACAGGGCAAAGAGAGTGAAGATCCAGAGAGTGATTTTAAGGCAGAGCATCAACAGGGCAAAGAGAGTGAAGATCCAGAGAGTGATTTTGAGGAAGAGCATCAACAGGGCAAAGAGAGAGAAGATCCAGAGAGTGATTTTGATGCAGAGCATCAACAGGGCAAAGCGAGTGAAGATCCAGAGAGTGATTTTGAGGAAGAGCATCAACAGGGCAAAGAGAGTGAAGATCCAGAGAGTGATTTTGATGCAGAGCATCAACAGGGCAAAGCGAGTGAAGATCCAGAGAGTGATTTTGAGGAAGAGCATCAACAGGACAAAGAGAGTGAAGATCCAGAGAGTGATTTTGATGCAGAGCATCAACAGGGCAAAGAGAGTGAAGATCCATAGAGTGATTTTGAGGCAGAGCATCAACAGGGCAAAGAGAGTGAAGATCCAGAGAGTGATTTTGAGGCAGAGCATCAACAGGGCAAAGAGAGTGAAGATCCAGAGAGTGATTTTGAAGAAGAGCATCAACAGCGCAAAGAGAGTGAAGATCCAGAGAGTGATTTTGAGGAAGAGCATCAACAGGGCAAAGCGAGTGAAGATCCAGAGAGTGATTTTGAGGAAGAGCATCAACAGGACAAAGAGAGTGAAGATCCAGAGAGTGATTTTGATGCAGAGCATCAACAGGGCAAAGAGAGTGAAGATCCATAGAGTGATTTTGAGGCAGAGCATCAACAGGGCAAAGAGAGTGAAGATCCAGAGAGTGATTTTGATGCAGAGCATCAACAGGGCAAAGAGAGTGAAGATCCAGAGAGTGATTTTGAGGAAGAGCATCAACAGGGCAAAGAGATCCAGAGAGTGATTTTGAGGCAGAGCATCAACAGGGCAAAGAGAGTGAAGATCCAAAGAGTGATTTTGAGGCAGAGCATCAACAGGGCAAAGAGATCCAGAGAGTGATTTTGAGGAAGAGCATCAACAGGGCAAAGCGAGTGAAGATCCAGAGAGTGATTTTGAGGCAGAGCATCAACAGGGCAAAGAGAGTGAAGATCCAGAGAGTGATTTTGAGGAAGAGCATCAACAGGGCAAAGAGAGTGAAGATCCAGAGAGTGATTTTGATGCAGAGCATCAACAGGGCAAAGAGAGTGAAGATCCAGAGAGTGATTTTGAGGCAGAGCATCAACAGGGCAGAGAGAGTGAAGGGCCAGAGAGTGTTTTTTCTGAGGTAGAACATCAAGTCAGCAAAGAGAGTGAAGGGCCAGAGAGGAGCCATGAGGTTGAATGCAATAGTAATAAGAGAATGGAAGTCATTGAGTCTGGAGGAGACAATGACAGACCTGGAACATCAACAGAAAGTGAAATAGGAAGCACAGTACCCAAAGCTCAACCTGTTGATCCAGCCTTGTGGCCTGACACAATTTCGCAAAGTTACAGAGCAGAGGCAGTGCGAAGAGGAACATTTCAAGTCATAGAAAGTTATGTTTTTCCAAAAAATACTGATGGACGAGCCTTTTCACACAGTCTGTGTTATAGAAAAATGCCTAATGGTGAAAGAGTCAAACGATCATGGTTGTCATATTCAAAAGTGAATGATGCCGTCTTTTGCTACAGCTGCAAACTTTTCTCTACCCAAGTAATTAAGCTCATTCAATTAGGATTAAAAGACTGGAAGAACATCCACAACATCCTGCGCAGTCATGAGAACAGTTCTGAGCATATAAGCACCATGCAGAAGTGGAGGGAATTAGAATTGCGGTCTATAACAGATCAAACCATAGACCAGAGACCCTTTTGGAGGAAGAAAGACAGAGGTGGCGAATGTTCTCACAAGACTGTTAACAATTATACAGTCTCTTGATAAGAGTAATCTTGGATTTAGGGGATCCACAGACAAACTCAATGTTTCTGATAATGGTCATTTTCTAAAGGAAGTGGAGCTCCTGGCAAAGTTTGATCCAGTCATGCAGGAGCACTTGGCTAAAATCAAAGATGTAAGTAAACACACACACACACACACACACACACACACACACACACACACACACACACACACACACACACACACACACACACATGTTGGTGCAACAGCATTATGAGGACTCTCCATAGGCGTAATGGTTTTTATACCGTAAAAACTATATATTCTATCCCCCTACACTGCCCCTATCCCTAAACCTACCCATCACAGGAGACATGCAGCATTTTTAATTTTTTAATAAAACATTGTTTTTTATGTTTTTTAAGCCATTTGATTTATGAGGACTTTTGAAATGTCCTCATAAACCACCCATAAGTTGTAATACCAGTGTAATACACATGTCATTATACAAATTTGTGTCCTCATAAATCACATAAACCAACTCACACACACACACACACACACACACACACTATTTGGGGAAAGACATACAAAATGAGCTACTGAATATGATGAGTAGCCAACTGACCAAAGAAATTGTTGCAAAAATCCACACTGCAAAGTACTTTTCTATCATCCTTGATTGTACATTAGCCACCTGGAACAGATGTCTATCATTCTACGCATTGTGGAACTAGAAATAAAATAATATTTTCTGGGATTCTTGGTTGTGGAAGAGACAACTGAAAAGATTCGGTAATCCTAAACAGGCTGAAGGACCTTCGGATTGACTTCATGGATTGTCGAGGTCAGTCATATGACAATGGTTCGAATATGAAGGGCAAGAAGCAAGGTGTACAAGCCAGGCTGCTGGAAAAGAACCCAAGAGCCCTGTTTGTTCCATGCGGGGCACACAAGTTAAACCTGGTTCTGGCAGATGCTGCAAGAGCTTCAAATGATGCCATTGGATTCTTTGGACACCTGCAGAAACTATTCAGCTTTTTTTTCAGGATCCACTCAGTGATGGTCTATTGTGAAAAAATGTGTGGACCTCACTCTTAAATCATGGAGTGACACAAGGTGGGAGAGCCGATTGCAAAGTGTTCAGGCTGTCAGGTTCCAGGTTGCCCAAATCAGGGAAGCACTTGTACGGCAGAGTTTGTCTGACCCCGTTTCTAAAGTGGAGGCCCAAGCTCTTGCTGAAGAATTGGGGTCTTATCGCTTTTTGATTTGTTCTGTTGTGTGGTGTGACATTCGGATACTTGTCAACCAGGTCAATAAGCTTTTCCAGTCATCCTCTATGCAACTGGACGTTGCTTCAAACCTGATTACGTCCACCAAAGCACAGTATAGGGCCTCTGGCTTTGCTGTAAAAAAAAAAAAAAAAGCAGATGAGTGCCTCTGTAGGTGGCCATGGAATAAGAATAATAACTGGTCCAGATTACTTTTCAGATGATTTTTTTTGTGTTTACCTTAAAGGAGACCTATTATGCCCCTTTTCACAATATGTAAAACAATTATTTGATGTCCCCAGAGTGTGTATGTGAAGTCTTAGCTCAAAATACCTCACAGATAATTTTTTATAGCATTTTAAAATTGGCAAATTTGGGCTTGTGCAAAAACGCACCATTTTAATGTGTTTCCCTTTAAATGCTAATGAGTTGCTGCTCCCGCCCCACTTTACAGACTTTTTTGCAACTGTCTGGCAAGCAATATCTCGTTTGGCTGCTCTGTTCAGATGTGCTGTCCTTTACAAATAAAGATTTCACTATCAGCGCGATAAAAAAATAACAACATAGCTGGACTCATGGTGCTATCACATGCTATCACAAACTTTATAATTCTAACATGTTATTATGAGCTTGACAAATTCAAAGGCAATTTGGTAAACAAACGCGTAATACTTACTTCTAGATGTGTAACATTAGCTGGATGACGAACAGTTGACACTGCTACATCCTTCAGGAGCAACTTTTTTGCAAAACCTGCTTTATACTGAGCCTCATTCTAAAAGCTGTCCGGTGTAAAATGATTCGAGCAGACATAAACAAATTTTGGTAGAGTTGAGGGAGCTTTTTTTTCAAAAACAAAATTAATTCACCTCGTCTTCAACGGCTGAGATTTCGGGAGTAAATAGATAGAGCTGTGTGGATTAATACATCCACCTACACAACACCGACAACGCTTGGGAGACATTCTCGTCAGGGCAGCAATGGCGGATGTGTACAACTCTCAACTCGATCAGGGCGGTTCTGTGTTAAAACGGCACTGTCTGTCAACACTCGTGGGCGGGGCCTGTGGCTGTAGTGACGTCACTAAAGCCGCGTTCTGAAAACAGGTTGTTGGGAGACACTGCTTATGATTTATGGGGATTTAAGAAAAAAAGGAGTGAGTGGATTTTTATCACTGTAGGGTGGTTGTGTACACACACTGCCATCACACATTTATGTCCAAACACCATGCAAAAGTGAATTTTGCATAATAGGTCCCCTTTAATTAAAGTTAAATTAATATGCACATTTAAGTAAAAATATAAAAATACTGATAACAGGTTTTGCATAAATAAAATGGTTACACTGTAAAAAAAAAAATCGTAATTTGAACGGTAAAATACTGTAAAAAAAAAGCAACGGAAAAGACATGTTAATTGCTTAACAGTATGTACCCTTATTATATACCGTGAAAAACTGTAATAGCTCTCACGGGACATTTCATGTAGTTTTACAGTAAAATACTGTTAAATGTACAGATTTTGGAAGTACACTGTAAAAAAAACCTTGCCGTTGCATTTACCATAACTTACCATAAAAAATACGGTAGCAATTATTATGTTTTACATCATTGAACTTAAATTTACGGTAAAAAACTGCTAGCTGTGGTTGACAGTCCTTTACCGTTAAAAAAACCCGGTAGAAATATGTATGTTTTACGGCATTGAACTAAAGTTTACGGTAAAAAACTGCCAGCTGGTTTAAAGCGATTTACCGTAAAAAATATTATAGTAATGTTTTAGGTTTTACAGCAGGGATCTAAATATTCAATTCAATTCAATTCAATTCAAATTTATTTGTATAGCGCTTTTCACAATACATATTGTTTCAAAGCAGCTTTACAGAAAGTGCATTTCAGAAATGTACATAGAAGAATATAGTTAGTTAATCATCATGTATTAATTTAGGGCATAACATATCGCCGGCGTTGAGTCGTCTCTTCACAGGCGTCGAGTCGTCTCATCGCAGGTATTGACGCATCTGAAGTCTCCGTGAGAGGCTGGATACAAACTGGAGCTGACGAACGCTATTTACCTCGGGACTAGCGTCCCGAGATAACAGCAGAAAAGCAGATGGGAGATAATTAGCGTAGCTGCTGTTCATAATATTAATGCAGTCGATCTGATTCAACAGTGGTATAAAAGGTAAGCATTATGTGAATGCTTGGCTGAAGAGATGCGTCTTTAATCTAGTTTTGAACTGGGAGAGCGAGTCTGAGCCACGAACAGTATCAGGAAGGCTATTCCAGAGTTTAGGAGCTAAATGTGAGAACGCCCTCCCTCCTTTAGTGGACTTAGATATCCTAGGAATGACCAGAAGCCTCGAATTTCGGGATCTTAAAGAACGCGATGGATTGTAGGGCGATAGAAGGTCCATTAAATACACAGGAGCTAAACCATTTAGGGCTTTATAGGTCAGTAGTAGTACTTTGTAATTGATACGGAACTTAATAGGTAACCAGTGCAGGGATGATAGAATCGGTGTTATATGATCATATTTTCTCGACCTAGTAAGAACTCTAGCGGCTGCATTTTGGACTAACTGTAGCTTGTTTATTGAGGATGCAGGACAACCAGCTAATAAAGCATTACAGTAATCTAGTCTCGAGGTCATGAATGCATGAACTAACTTTTCTGCATCAGAAACAGATAAAATGTTACGTAATTTAGCAATGTTTCTAAGGTGGAAAAAAGCTGTTCTTGTAACATACGAAATATGATTTTCGAAAGACAAGTTACGGTCTAGTATAACTCCCAGGTCTTTTACTGTAGTCGATAAGGTAACAGGACATCCTTCTAAATTAAAGTTGTATTGTAAGAGATTTTGTGGGTAGTTTTTTGGACCAATAAGTAATACCTCAGTTTTATCTGGATTTAATAGCAGGAAATTACACGTCATCCAGCATTTTATATCTTTAAGACATTCTGTCAATTTAGATAAGTTAGTGTATTCATCTGGTCGTGATGAAATATATAATTGAGTGTCATCAGCATAGCAGTGGAAATTAATTCCATGTTTTCTTATAATATTACCAAGTGGCAGCATATATATTGAGAATAGCAGAGGGCCTAACACCGATCCTTGCGGCACTCCATAGTCT